GAAGATGATGAAGATGATGATGAGGAAGAGGGTGAAGATGGTGATGGTGATGACCATGCCGGGATGACGATGCCCTTTAAAGGAACCCAGACGGGAGCCCGCAAAGGAACACTTAGCGGAACCCTCCGAAGGCCTCGGCGACCGTGCGAATCGACTTCTGGCATCGGGGTCCGAGGAGAGGTTTAGGGTTTAGGGTTTAGGGTTTAGGGTTGAATATATTGTACTATGGTTTAGGGTTTAGGGTTCAGGGTTGAATATAATGTACTATGGTTTAGGGTTTAGGGTTTAGGGTTGAATATAATGTACTATGGTTAGGGTTTAGGGTTTAGGGTTGAATATAATGTACTATGGTTTAGGGTTTAGGGTTGAATATAATGTACTATGCTTTAGGGTTTAGGGTTTAAGGTTGAATATAATGTACTATGGTATAAGCTATTGTTTTTCAATCCCGAGACAAGCGAGAACAGCGTCGCAAAACTCCTGCCTCTAGCGCACAAGAAGGCTAGGAGGACGGCTCCAACGAGTCGTGCTAGGGTTTAGGGTTTTGGGTTTAGGGATTAGGGTTTAGGGTTTAGGGTATCTTCGCTGTCAAAGAGCTCGAACCCTACCCCCCAGAGAACAGAGAGCATCCGAGTCTGGCGTCATCCAGGAATGACGGGGCGACTTCTGTCCTGCATGCTGTGTTTGGAGTGTAAGTGTTTCTGGTTTAGGGTTTTGGGTTCACGTTTCAGGGTTTAGGGTTGTGGGTTCTCCTTACTTTTTGTGGCTTGCTTCAAGAGGGGATTCTTCAAGGTGTGAGGTTTGGGTGTCTAGCATTGGGATCTGAATACCCTTACGGCCCCTGTACCCTAAACCGAAAGGGGCGTCATTGCACTTTAAAAAAAACCCTAAACCCTAAACCCTAAAAGCTGTATCCTGAGTGCAAAGGCCCCTTATGCCAACGCCTTTACAGTCTACAGAACCTGTAAAACCCCATGGTTAGGGTTTAGGGTTTAGGGGTTTAGGCTACTAAGGGACTGTAGCAGGGATTGCGATTTCGTCACTCTAAACAATGAGCTTCAACAACTGCCTAAACCCTTAAACCCTAAACTCTTAAACCCTAAACGCCTGCACCCTAAACCCTAAACCCTAAACCCTGAGCCGGACGGATTCTCTGCGAGCCTTGACTTTTCGGCTTATTGATTGCAAGAGAGACGCCGTCCATACAACACACAAACGTAAGATATCTGCTGCTTCTTGTTTGCGTTGACATTTACCTTTCATGCATCCTCACCAAGATTCGATCACGAATGCAATCACCACTGAGCTTGAAAACAACAGACTTCTGCCAATGTTCGTATCTTTGTTGCCACAACGTTGTACATCGCCCGAACCGAAGAAGCTTGTTGCTGCTGCTTTCATCATCGCATCTCTCTCGGCTGTTCTCGCATCCTCTTCTCACCTTTTCATCCGCTTCTTCGCTGACCATGTCGCTATCTGTGGTGCAACTCGGCCCTGCCATCATGTACCCAGGCGTCGTCCTCGGGCTCGGCTACGGAACCTTCGTCCGTCAACAAGAACCGTCCTGGAAGATCCCCGCCGTCATGTCCGCTGGATTTGGGGCTTTCTCGGCCTTCACCATCTACAAGGAAGGTGTTTTGGGCGTCATTCCGAATCACACATCCAACTACTGGGGCAATCAAGTTTGGTACGATCTGCTCTATTCCACGGGGCTCTTTTGGTTGGCCCTGGTCCGGCGCGCCAAGAAGCTCGGAATGCCGCTGGTGCCGTGGTTCCTGTACGTGGCTGGGTTCTTGTTAAGGAATTTAATTTAAGTTACCATTATAGGGATCTATAGTAAATAATACGGTTTCCTGATTGTCGCAACTTAAATCAAATCCCTTAACAAGAACCCAGGTGGTTTCAACGGCCAGCATCGGTGGGTTGCACATGTACGCTCGAATCTTGTACCTGGAGGAACAGAAAACCGATGGCGACAGTAGTTCCGGCAGTGCCAGCGCGGGTTTGCGCTGACAAAACGGCAGGACGAACAAGAAATGACGACGATTCGTCGATCTTGGACGGGTCTGAAGAGATGTGTTTCTGGTAGTGAGTTTACCAACACGCTGATGACAGGCATAACCTGTGGCATGGCGCATTCGGCAGAAAAAGCATCATGATATTGCTTGCCATGGGGCATTGTTGTATGTAATGTATTGTGGTCACTCCGACTTTAGTGCTATTATTGGAATGGTAGTTTTGTGAGACAAGAACGCAATGGACACCCTGCAGTTGACTCTGGTGTGTCTGCAACGGTCAATCCGCCCAATAGACTCAACCTGCAATCTCAGTGCTTCTGTAGATCGTCGACAAGGCCTTCTTCCATGCCTCATGCGCGCATTGAAGTTATTGTTAGAATTATGTGTGCGTGCGATTTTCAGGAGGACATCTCCATCACCGTCGGGGAGGTGCATGGGATCGAGCAAGAGTCGCAGAGCTTTGGGTTTAGGGGTTAGGGGTTCAGGGGTTTAGGGGTTTAGGGTTTAGGGTTTAGGGGTTCAGGGGTTTAGAAGGGTTCAGGGGTTTAGGGGTTAGGGGTTTAGGGGTTTAGGGGTTTAGGGTTTAGGGTTCAGGGGTTCAGGGGTTTAGAAGGGTTCAGGGGTTTAGGGGTTAGGGGTTTAGGGGTTTAGGGGTTTAGGGTTTAGGGTTCAGGGGTTCAGGGGTTTAGAAGGGTTCAGGGGTTTAGGGGTTAGGGGTTTAGGGGTTTAGGGGT